AAAAAAAAAAAGGATCTTCACATAGCTGAATGGTTGGGGCACCAGCCACCTGCACCAGGGCTTGCGGGTTTGGACCCGGCTCCTACCTGTTAAACATCAACAACAATGACAACAAAACAATAGCTGGGTCCTGTTGGGGGGGGGTGCCTGCAGTACCAGCTACTTGGGAGACTGAGGCAAGAAAATCACTTAAGCCCAAGAGTTTGAGATAGCTGTGAGCTGTGACACTATGGCACTCTACGGAGGGCGACATAGTGAGACTCCATTTCAAAACAAAAATAAAAAATAAAAAAAAAAAAAAGATCTTCATACAAAATCAAAATACAAATCAAACCTATTGCATAGCCAGAAACATGGATCAACATAATCGTGGAAACAATTCATGTATTATAGGTAACTAATAATTTTTGTTGAGCGAAGAGCAAGATTTGTTCAATTGACAATTTTAATAAATCCGTATTTGAGTTCCAAATACTAGATAAGATAAACTAAATCTTAAGCCAGTAAAGAGTAAATCTGGAGTCAGTTTGGTAGGAAAAAAAGATTTATTTCATTTTATACAAATAGGGGCCATAATGGTCAGAACGGCAGCTGACTGCACTTTAACGTATGTGAGAGTGAGCTTACTCGTCCCTTGGTGGTGGCAGACTCATATAAATAAATGCCTTGTCACTTTCAGGTTTCTTCAGCTACATTTCAATCACTTGTTCCTGATATTCCCAGCCACATCGAGAGTCCAGTCTTTGTTGCTTCTAATCAGACTCAGTCACCTGAAATGCCTGTTGCTCCCATAGCCACTGATATAGACAATATGCAGCAAGACATTGAGCAAGTTTGGGAGGAACTATTATCCATTCCAGAATTACAGGTAACTAAGATCCTAATGTAATACTGAAGGTGCTATTTTACATTCATTGCCTTTGGAATTAGCCACTCTGATTATTATTTATATACTACCTATTTGTAGGAAGAATGGGAAGGTGCTTTTAAATTGGTTATGACAGCCACCCATGCTAGTTAAATGTGCGGGTCATCTTGAGGATAGAACTTTAGAAACCTAAAGCTTGATCTAGAAACTCTGAAAATATATAAATAGATGTTGGAAATGGGAATTGTCTCTGAAAATTATAGAACAGCTTGGAGAGAATATGGGTAAGCAGAATTTACCTAAATTTACCATCAGATATGGCTTATCAGCTATTAAAAATATTACCTTGAAAAAATATATATAACTTTCATTTATATAGGATAAATTTCTTTTCTATGCAGTGTCTTAACATTGAAAATGACAAGCTGGTTGAGACTCCCATCGTTCCAAGTCCAGAAGCCAAACTGACAGAAATTGACAACAATTATCATTTTTATTCATCTATCCCCTCACTGGACAAAGATGTAGATAATTGCAGTCCACATTTTCTGAATGATTTTGAGGATTCCTTCAGCAGCATCCTCTCCACAGAAGACCCCAGTCAGTTGACAGTGAACTCATTAAATTCAAATGCCACAGTAAACACAGATTTTGGTGATGAATTTTATTCTGCTTTCATAGCAGAGCCCAGTATCAGCAACAGTATGCCTTCATCTGCTACTTTAAGCCATTCACTCTCTGAACTTCTAAGTGGGCCCATTGACCTTTCTGATCTGTCACTCTGTAAGGCTTTCAACCAAAACCACCCTGAAAGCACAGCAGAATTCAATGATTCCGACTCTGGCATTTCACTGAACAAAAGTCCCAGTATGGCATCACCAGAACACTCAGTGGAATCATCTATCTATGGAGACACACCACTTAGCTTCAGTGATTCTGAAATGGAAGAGCTAGATAGTGCCCCTGGAAGTGTCAAACAGAATGGTTCTAAAACACAGCCAGTACATTCTTCTGGGGATACAGGGCAGCCCCTGTCACCATCTTGGCACGGTGCTTCAGCGCATGATGCCCAGTGTGAAAATACACCAAAGAAAGAATTGCCTGTAAGCCCTGGTCATCGGAAAACCCCATGCACAAAGGATAAACATTCAAGCCGCTTGGAGGCTCATCTCACAAGAGATGAGCTTAGGGCAAAAGCTCTCCAGATCCCATTCCCTGTAGAAAAAATCATTAACCTTCCTGTTGATGACTTCAATGAAATGATGTCCAAAGAGCAGTTCAATGAAGCTCAACTTGCATTAATTCGAGATATACGTAGGAGGGGTAAGAATAAAGTGGCTGCTCAGAATTGCAGAAAAAGAAAACTGGAAAACATAGTAGAACTAGAGCAAGATTTAGATCATTTAAAAGATGAAAAAGAAAAATTGCTCAAAGAAAAAGGAGAAAATGACAAAAGCCTCCATCTACTGAAAAAACAACTCAGCACCTTATACCTGGAAGTCTTCAGCATGCTGCGTGATGAAGATGGAAAACCTTATTCTCCTAGTGAATATTCCCTGCAGCAAACACGAGATGGCAATGTATTTCTTGTTCCCAAAAGTAAGAAGCCAGACGTTAAAAAAAACTAGATTTGGGAGGATTTGATTTTTTCTGAGCTAGTGTCTTTTGTACTGTTATAACTAAGAGCTCCTACTGTGATGTGAAATGCAGAATTATCATACTTTATAAGTAATTCTATGCAAAATTATAGCCAAAACTAGTATAGAAAATAATATGAAATTTTAAAAAGCATTAAGCTATCAGTATGTTGAATCAGTAGTTTCACTTTAACTGTAAACTTAATTTCTTAGGACACCATTTGGGCTAGTTTCTATCTAAGTGTAAATACGATAAAAACTTTTTATTTATACTATTCTTATCTCATTTGTTACATTCATAGAATTTATATGATGATATGACATCTGGCTAAAAGCAAATTGTTGCAAAACTAACCACTATGTACTTTTTTATAAATACTGTATGAACAAAAAATGACATTTTTTTATATTAAATTGTTTAGCTCTGGCAAAAAAAAAAAAATTAAGAGCTGGTACTAATAAAGGAATATCATGACTGTTAAATTACTTCTTTGGGATTCATTTGAGTTTATTCACACAGTAGTTACCACGAGAAAATTTAAAATGTTTAGATGTTTTGCGTTTTTAGAATGTTTTCTTTGAAAATATGAAAAGAATTTTCATATTTTGTATCAGGGTTATGGAGATATAAAGACTATCAAGAAGATATTTTATCTCTTCAACAGCAAGTACTTTTAAATTCCAAAAAATTTTATACATTCACATGAGAACATTGATTTATTCATGTCAACAGATACATACCTGGCAGCGTCTGTGGCTCAGTGGGTAGGGTGGCAGCCCCATATACTGAGGGTGGCGAGTTTGAACCTGGCCCTAGCCAAACTGCAACAACAAAAAAAATAGCCAGGTGTGGCATAGGCCTGTAGTCCCAGCTACTCAGAAGGCTGAGGCAAGAGACTCGCCTAAGCCCAGGAGCTGGAGGTTGCTGTGAGCTGTGACAACACGACACTCAACCAAGGGCAATAAAGTGAGACTCTGTCTCTCAAAAAAAAAAAAAAAAAAAATCATAACATGCCCATTATACACTAGGAATTATTTGAAATCCTAATGACAAAAACAATATGCTGGTCCTCCTAGAACTTGTATTCTAATACAGGAAAAATACCAAGAATACATCATGTTAGAAGGAAAAGGATTGGCAAATCAGTAAACAGCATAACTTAAAATAATACTACAAAGAGGAACAGCCTAGAGGTGGCAACTTTTGATGGTGCAGGAGAGCAAACCATTCTCATAGTTGAGAGCACGGCAGACAGGACGCAAGAAGTCTAAAGGCTAAGGCTTGAAAAAAAAGAACAGTGTGGCTGAAGAGAGGGAAGTGGGAAGCTGCTCATGATGGTAAGCGAGAGTAACACCTGATGGGGTCTCCCTCGGTGCCTGCCCACTCCAGACTGCAGTGGCATTGTCATAACTCAGTGCAACTTCAAACTCCTGGGCTCAATTGATCCTCTTGCCTCAGCCTCCTGAATAGCTGGGACTACAGGTGTGATCCACCACAGCCTATTAACATTTCTATTTTGATTTAATAAAGGTGGGATCTCTCTCTTGCTTAGCCTGGCGCCTGAAAAATTTTTAAAACTTCCCTCTCTGGCCCATACCTGCCAGCAGTTGCTGCGGCACTTTCGGGTAAAGTCCAGTGGCCAGATTGCCCTCATCTGAGACGGACTGCTGAGAGCTGTAGTCACAGCTGGTACAGTGGTAGCAGAGGGACCGGCCATTGCTGCTGCAGGATTTGCAGGGTGTTATGTTATGCCAGCCATGAAGCATAAGGAGCCTTAAGGAAAACAAGTTTCTCAAAGCCTATCAAAATCTGCTTTCAATGGGGGTTACTGTGGAGCTGAGTTTTAACCCAAAATGACAAAACTGGAAGCAGCATTAATAATAGTGTCCTACTGCCAATAAAGGAGAAAACAAGAGACACCCACTGACAAATTATGGTTTCAACTCTCTGACACCGTCAGACCTTGTCCAAACATAATGATTTTCCTGTTCCACGAAATGCTGGAAGATATCCAACACAATAATACACAACCTCCAACAAGGTGGCTGGAAGGTTTATAGTGATGGTGATCTTATAAAGTTCCCATACTCTGTCACACAAAAGGGATTCACCCTTCCTCAAAGTGCTTGGCCAAAAACTGAACTTGAGTATTTCCAGCAATTTTTCTCAGATGATCTTATTGTTGATATTGTGACCATGACAAATATGCAGCAGAAAAAATATAGGTGACTCCACTAACAAAGCATTCAGTGTGGCACTCACGGACGGATATATAATAACAAGAAATGAAGGTGTTCTTTAGTGTAATATTGAATATGAATGTAATACTTCATGAATTTGAAGGTGCAGTTAGTTGACTATTTTACCAAAGATTGGCTAGAATGAACCTTATTCAAAGATGTTTTCAGTCATCTCCGTTTTTTCCAAATATTTTTGATGCTGCATTTAGTTCCTCCTGCTGCTGCTGAAGGCAATGTGCCTACCCAAGGAGGAAGGTAAAGAATGTATGTCGGCCACATACGTAAATAACTTCATGTACCAGGACGAAACGTGGCCATAGAGAACACAGCAGGTTTCAAAGGAAGGATTCAATTCAAGTGCTATAATCTGAAGAAGCCTGCAAAGTGGAGCCAAGGAATATTACAGCAAGATAACACAAAGTCTCACCCTGATTTGCCATTTATGTCACAAGTCTTGCAAGCACCTATGAGTGGTTCAGGCTCTCACATCTTCGCTGACAGGTTCTATATAAGCCCTCAACTTCTTCGGTAATTGAAAGGCAGCTATGCTAACCACTACACCACCAATGCTTGCTTGGAAATTGCATAAAATGAAAAAATACATAACGAATGCTTATGCCTTCTAGGAAGGATTCTCCAAGTGACCTGAAAAAGAGGCAACTTAAGATATGAATTATGTGCCTATCAATGTGATATAAAAATGAAATGCCTCACATCACATGATAAGAGGTCAGAGACAAAGCTGAGTACATTCTTTGGCCCTCAGACAGTTAATCACTGGTTATACTATAATAGGAAGAAATAGTCATTCAGTTTGAAAAACTGACAGTCATTTTAGAATACACAAAGTTTATGGGAAGAGTGGACAGATGTTCTGGATTTTTTTTTCTTTTGCAGTTTTTGCCAGTGCTGGGTTTGAACCTGCCACCTCCAGTATACGGGGCGGGCGCCCTACTCCTTTGAGCCACAGGCATCGCCCAGATAGATGTTCCAGATTTACGACGGGGGCGGTCCTAACAAATGGTGGAAAAAATTATTCTTCTGGCTGATGGAAGTTGCAGTTGTGAGCAGTTACATTCTTTACTCATTTAGATAAATAGAGGGGAGAAAGAGTGCAGGCATACCTTTCTTCTTGTGAGCAACTTAAGAGAAATTCAAGAAACGGGAAGATTTTCATCTTAGAATACTGAAGAAAGGCTAAGGGAAGATCCATTTTATAATGCAAAATACAGAAATCAGTAAGTGGAAGGAGAGAAACCATTTTCTGTAGACATGGAAGAGGAAGCCTAGACTTCATCCTGGAGATTGCTTCAAGAATTATGACTCAAGGCTGGGTGCAATGGCTCGCACCTGTAATCCTAGCACTCTGGAGACAGGTGAATTGCCTGAGCTCAGGAGTTTAAGACCAGCCTGAGCAAGACCAAGGTGCCATGTCTACTAAAAATAGAAAAACTAGCCCAGCATTGTGGCAGGCACCTGTAGTCCCAATCTGAAGGCAAGAGGATTCACTTAAGCCCAAGAGTTTCAGGGTGCTGTGAACTATGACGATCCTAAGTGCTATACCCAGGGCAACAGAGTGAGACTGTCTCAAAAAACAAACAAAAAAACAGCAAAAATAAACAACACCGTAATTAGTTTATGTAACCTAAAAAAGATAAAATCACCAGGCAAGTTCATACTTACCTTTTTCTCTTTTAAACTGTGGGATAGGCTTGGTGCCTGTAGCTCAAGTGGCTAAGGCACCAGCCACATACACCTAAGGTGGCGGGTTCAAATCCAGCGCAGGCCGCCGAACAACAATGACGACTGCAACCAAAAAATAGCCGGATGTTGTGGTGGGCACCTGTGGTCCCAGCTACTTGGGATGCTGAGGCAGGAGACTCACTTGAGCCCAGGAGTTGGAGATTGCTGTGAGCTGAGATGCCACAGCACTCTACCCAGGGGGATAGCTTGAGGCTGTCTCAAAAAAAAAAAAAAAACAAAACTGTGGGATAATTACAAGTAATCCTCAATGCTCTTTCCTGCCTAAAACAAGATCTAGGGAATTAGGTGGGTGCAGAAAAATTGGACTGGAAAGGTTTTAAATCACCCAAATGATCTCTATATACCAGTAAAGAAAAAAAATCACTGAAGTTAATGATTTATTAGGTCAAGCTAAAAAAGTTTATGTATGAACTTTAAGTGCATATAGAACCAGCATCTTTTTTCTTTTTTGAGGCAGAGCCTCCAGCTGTCCCCCTGGGTAGAGTGCTGTGGCATCACAACTCACAGCAACCTCCAACTCCTGGGCTCAGGCAAGTCTCCTGCCTCTGTCTCCCAAGTAGCTGGGACCACAGGCGCCCGCCACAATGCCCAGCTATTTTTTGGTTGCAGCTGTCATTGTTGTTTGGTAGCCGGGGCTGGATTCGAACCCGCCACCTTGGGTGTATGTGGCTGGCACCTTAGCCACTTGAGCCACAGGTGCCGAGCCGAGCACCAGCATCTTATAAAAATGCCTCAGAGCTACAATTTGAAAAAGGAAGTTCCCTCTGATTTGTGTGCTGAGAACAGTTTAGACCAAAGGGAAAGGACGGGAACAGAGAGACCAATTGGGAGGTTCATGCATTGTGAGGAAGGCTTGGTCTAAATTGATAGCAGAGATAGCTGGAGGCATTGGGTTCTGTTTATTTCAAACTAAAAGGACTTACTAGTAGAATGGATGTGAGAGTCAAGGCATAGAACCTCATTTAAGAATTGAGTTGCGGCTCGGCGCTTGTGGCTCAAGTGGCTAAGGCACCAGCCACATA